GCACTTGCCCATCTCCCTGCAACTCTCATCCAGCCCTCACTCAGTCCAGGATCCAGGACTGGGTTGGAGCTCAGGAACAATTAGCAGCCACAGCCACTGATACTGATGATGCTGACAGTTCTTGGCATGTGGGATTTCCATTCCCATGGTCTAAAATCCAAGGGAAATCCTGACAAACACTTACATTGGTTGGGTTTTTCACATGAAAATGGTGCTGAATCCTGGCCAAGATTTGGAAGGAGACATTAAACACTACCAGTTACTTCTGACATGGAGAGCATATAAATTTCACTGAGTTTGAGATTAAAGAGTGGTGCCCTGGCAGATTTGGTCTCCATCCTTTAATTGCTTCCTCTTCTGCCTCCTCCTTTGAGCAGCTTGTTCTCCTCTGCATCACTTCTGCTCATGTTTGCCATCATACTGCCGGCCAGGGATATACAAACTACTGGGCCCTATCCGGGACAAATGTCTTGAGCAGAACAAAGTCAGAATCAAGGCTATCAGTGCACATCAATTCAATGCTTGTAACTTCAGCAGTGCTAAATAACATTGCAAATTACCAAGTATTTCTCCAAGCTCAGCAACAGCCAGTGAAAATACATCAACTAATCTGGAAGTAGTTGATAATCCCTTCAAAAAACACTATTGAGAGGGGTCTTTTTTATGCCGATTGCACATTCAGTTGTGAGATGTTAAAGAGGGCACATTAGGTGCTTGAGATCAGCTCACTGCCCAACATCATAGGCTGTATATCTTCAGTGTATGCACCCTGTAGCTGCCCTTACCAAAATGGCAGCTGTGTGGCAGGCACCAGGAGAGTGCAGCTGCTCCTAGGATACCAGTTTGCATCTGATATAGCACTCTTTGGCATTGAAAGCACAAAAGTCGCACAACCAAACTTTGCGACCCAGATGTCCTCTTGTGGGGAAGATACTAATGTCAGGGTGTTGCTGCTTTCCTCAAAACTCTCTTATTAACATTTCAATCATCAACGTAATTGAGACCAGCTATCCTCAGTCTGTTAATATTCATACTTTCCAGAACAGCTAGTTCCAGTTATTGAACATGGCTTAATTAATTTCTGAGCACAGATATTGACCCTGTTAAAGAATCAATCCAAAAACCGACACCTTCTTTGTCATATATAATTGCATAGCCAGTTGTAAGTATTGACGTCCTTCTCTTGCAATTGGCTCAATTTTGAATTCATACTTCCCCGATCTAGCCGAGCTGTTTGAAATATTTTTAATCATGTTTATCTTGTGGCTTTAGTACAAGTTTTATCTCTTTCTATCTATTCAATTACCAATCTAAATTCCTCTGCAAATTGATAACAAAGTCTGTTTATCTCCACTGCTTTCCTGTTTTTGTTCAGTCTACAAATTCAACAAAATTACAAATAGTTTTGCGACCAAGTTATCTGTGTTGGGAAGTGTTTTTATTCCAGCACCATCAATGAAGAGCTCCCAGCTCCCAACTCGAAATTACATCTCACAAGTGCCCTTCATGTCATTACCCCAGCATCCACATCCCTCAACTATATACTTAATCTCCCATTTTATGCTGGATTGCTGTAGTTTTTAGTTTAATTAGAAGTGTTTAAGGTGGATCAAGTTTTTACTTTTTTTCAAAATTGCCCACATATTTGTTACAAATCCAATGGAATTCTATCAGAACCCAATGATTCTTTCATGGTTCTCGTCAGTACCCCAAAATTTATGCCTTTCCACATCTTCTGAACTATTCATGCACAACAGCATGTCAGCACTTTGATCTTTGGTGAATACTTTTAAAACAATTACTAGGGGACACAAGTTCAAGGTGCAAGGGCGGGGAAGATTAAAAGAGAATTGCAAGGCAGTTTTTCACACAAAGGGTGGTGAGTGATTGAAATGCCCTGCCAGAGGAGGTGGTAGAAGCAGACACAATAGCAGCATTCAAGAAGCACCTGGATGAATACGTGAATAGGAAGGGAATAGAGGGATACTGATCTTGTAAGCGAAAACAATTTTAATATGGAAGGGGAAAGTGTGTTGGTGCAGGCTGGGAGGGTCAAAGGGCCTGTTTCTGTGCTGTATTGTTTTTGTTCTTTGTTGTTCAATAATTGTGTCAATTCAACATTTTTCCTGTATCTCAAGTTGTCTACTGATGCTACTTTAAGCTTTCTAACTCTCCTCAGTTTTGCACCAAGGTAATGCAGAAAAAATGTTTTATATATTTTGCTACATTCGCTCATTATTCTGGATTGTGCTATCTGTGTTAATTTCCTTAAGAAATATTCCATACTCCTTTCAAGATTCTACTCTTAACCTTCCTCAGTAGGTGTGGCACAGATTTTTAAAATTAAAATGTAAATTTTTTATTTAATTTGAGAATTGCTGAGAAAAGACACAATTCGTTGAAGATTTCCACCATGCCCTCATCAGAATATTTCACAAGAAGTATCAAAGTAAAGAGAAAACAACATTTATATTGTTGCTTTCCTTTTACTTTGATATTTATTGTGCACTGTCCTGATAAGTGCAAGATGTAAATCTTCAACAAAATGTATCTTCTTTCAGCAATACACAAGTTCTGTCCTTCCAAGCAAGTCAATTTCTTGATCCATCTATTTGGGAGGTTCTTTGTTTGGCTTACAGTTACTACTTTGTATGATGCATCTGTTTCGCACATTTTACATCACATTACTTGGAAATTTGCGAAGAGAGCGTTAGTACATTGGAAAATGTGTTCTTCCTCCATTCTATGTGCAGGGTCAGGTTTGCAGGACCATGTTGTAATATCGCCACCCTCTCAGCTTGTTGGCAAAGAACAAATCGGTCAGTTGCCGAACATACAAAGCTGCCATGGCATATAACACTTAACTGCAAAAAAAATGAGATTTCGGAAAGAAGTCTAAAACTTCTAAGAAAAATATCAATTATAATCAGAGTTTAAACTTTCCAAAAAGTTTTCAAAGAACAACTTGTATTTTTTTACAATATATCATATTCCAAAACAATGTGAACACTAAGCTCATCGCAGGTTATCGAGTGAGATATTTTTGATTAATCCATGTGGGTTCATTCTGATGTTTTGCGATATCCTTTTTAGCGTTTAGTGTTTTCAGGTTCAGTGTTTCAATTTTAAGTGGGATAGGAATTCCACTCCCATGTTCCTTTTGCAAACACATTGTGGAGTTCTTGTGCTCTCTTAGTGTCTAGTCCGCGTCCTAAAATGTCAATCAGACAGAGGTTTGCGCGAGATTGACGCATGTTGCAATGTAATATGAGCAGCACTCTCTGAAATCCTGACGTTTGTCTGGAGCCCGTTTGAATGACCATACGTACTTCCCACTGACAGTAATGCGACATGAATACCCAGCTTCAGTCAGACAATGTTTGACAGGCGACAATGGAAGGGCTCGGAGGCTGCACTGACAAGCGGCAGTGCAGTGCACACTTGATCAGGGATGCTGCCTGTATTTTCACTTCCAGATGAGCTGTTAGTAAATTTACTGTCCACTCCGGAGGTCTAGTGGGACACTATAGAGACTCATGCAGGATGAGTGGGGCTTGGGTTGTTGAAGGGTGGGGAGAGCTTGTGATCAATGAAGACCTGGTGTGCGGAGGGTCCCCGTTACTCCAAGCTGCCCTCAGCACTGGAAATGTTATCAGTTGATTCATTTTCATAAAATACAACGGGACAGTGAGAGACATCGCAGCAGAACTGTAAAAATAACCAGTTATAAACAAAGCTCATGCTGTTAGGTAAAACAAGTCACGCCATAATAGTGATTAGCTCCTCTTTGAACCCCACCACCCCCCTTCCATCATTCCAGATAGCAAGAGGCAAATTGATCAGTTTGTGCTTGGATGGATTCGGAGGGACTCTGCCGCAAATATTCAGCAGGTCAGGCAGCCTCTGTGAAGAGAAACAGAGTTAGCAATTCAGCTCGACAGCCTTTCAAATGTAGTTCGGTGGTGGGGGGGGAGGTGTTGTAAAGGTTAACCTAAAGTTCACAAGAGAATGACTGTGTTACAAGGTCGAAGGGGTTAAGGGGACCAGGGCTTTTTAAATGGCAGGGAGCTTGTTTCAGAAACACTGGACAACAACCTCAAGGTATGACTGTTTTATTGTGTCTGGCGATGGTTCTACATGTTATTGACAACCCCCCGTTGGGTTGTGCCGGGGGTTAGCGCTGCATTTCTTACAGCCAGCGCATTCTCGGTTCAGACAGTAAAGCACTGGCCGGAGATCAGATGACAATAAACAACACGCCTCTCAGTCAGGTCTTCAGGAGGCTGTTGTTTTCCGATCTCCCCAGCACTTGCTGCTGCTCCCTTCAGCATCCTGTGGCTTTTGCAAGCATCTTTCCCTCAAGTAAACTTGGAGCCGGAGCATTTGCGGGAGCCCGCTGTGCCGCGTTAAATGACATTGGAGATTTGGTCGTGATACCATGCAGGACACGAACAGCGAGTCGGTCTGGGTAGCCCCCCAAACTCAACATTTCCACTCCCCCTCCCTCCCCGGTCCTAACTCTCTCACTACTGCGGTCTGCTGTTAACGTTCCCTCAAAGTCTTCATTCAAAGAGCACTCGTCTGTGACTGAGCACTAAAACCAACACCAATTGAACGGCAACATATTGGAACCATGTGGACAAATTATTTTTACAGATCTCGATCTTCCCAAACTGAAATGGGCTGTTTTAAGATTGTCGGGGGAAAAAAAGGGAATTCTATTTGTTATAGAAGCTCTAAACAGGTCATTGGATGTATTCCTTGGGCAAGGTGACAGGATGGATTTCAGATTTTTTTGTGTATTTCATCCTCTTGCAGCATTCCCAACCCCCCCACCCCCCCTCCACTCTCCCACCGCCCCTTCTAAAAGCGACATTGATTTACATGCGAGTTTCACAGTCCTGCAGATAGCTCCCGGCGCGTATCGAGCCTGTAAGAGTCTCCTTGACAGGGTGTCAACACGTGATAAGGTGACAAGGGCTTCATAAATGTGCTGGAGAGAGAAATAGAGGCTGAAAGCGAGGGAGGGAGGGAGAGAATCCCAAAAGAAAGCCCAGGTCGGGAGGGGGAAGCGGTGTGAGGTTCCCGGGAGAAACAGAAAAGAGAGAGTGAGTATATGTGAGGGGGAAGAGATGTGTGTGTGTGTGTGAGAGAGAGAGAGCGATCAGCCAGCACTGGTACAAGCTCCCAGCAAATCAACTATGGAAATCTAATCGACCGAGCGCAGTATGGGAGGCAGCAGTGTTTTAATCCAATCTCCAATTCCTTTCACTAGAGAAATCTCTTGGAAGAGGAGGGGGTAAAGAACGCCACACAAAGTGCTTGAGAGCCGGATCAATCCAACCTGACAAAAGAGATCCCGAGGCTGTAAATGCAATTCGTTAGTTAACGGTAAGTTCATTTTGACTGAACGCTTATGTACATCTGATATGTGTGTTTTTTTTTCCAAAATAACAATTAACTTTCGAATGCAATGAGATTGTGAGTTATATTTTCCAGGGAAGAAAGGTTTTTCAGCATATCTTCCCTCGTGATCCGGTTGAATGCATTGTAGTTTAATGATATTTGCTAATGATTGCTATCGAAACGACGTTGATGACGAACTTGATTAGATTGAGACTACAGAGTTTTAAAACCAAAACAAAGGGACATTTCTGAAGCAATGCTCCGTTCAACTTTTGGTCGCTTGTAAAATGTCAAGTATTGCATCCACTCGAAGAAGGAATCACAAATGGAGAAAGCTCCCCAAGGTGATCATCTTCTTCGGCACTGGGTCCCTGGGCATTCTTGTACCCTTTGTGTGAGTGAATGCTTCCTCTGCCTGAAGCCTTCTGTTGGAGGGGCAGGTGCGAAAAATCTATCCACCTCTTTCATGTCTCCAGTGTTAAACTGTTGTGTGTTTTGGCACAGAAATGCCACAGCCGTGTCAAACTATTGTACAGAATAGAACTATATAAATAAATCCTAGTGGTTAAAATGATCAAAAAATGACCTTTGTCAAAAGAACATTTTAACCTGTAATCATATCACAAATCTTCAAAAGGCAGCAATATTATTTATGAATCATCCAAATATATCTGAAAACGACTTTAGATACAAAGGAAAAAAAAGTATGCTATCAGACCTGATCATGTCATTAACTTTTTATAAAATATGTTTTTGAGACCTGGGATTCGCTTTTAAAAACTAACAGACTGGACAAAGGTAGAATTTCGCAGCAAGGAGCTGTAGAATTTTCTCCCTGCAATGGAAGCATTGTAGCATTCAAAGTACAATCGTTTGAAAAAAATATCATGTGCAAAAATCAAGCATTGAAAATGTGAAATGTTGTAGCGACGATTATCCCGTGTGTGCATGTAACTCTCATTCATTTGATGCACTCGATAGTACAAGTCTTCCAGTACCTTGATCCCAAATGTTTCATGTCGCCAAAACAATCAATCATCACATGATCCTATCTTGGTAATGATCAGTCAGCCATTGAATGAATGGGCGAGTCGCCCATCAACCTTGAAACCTAAGAGATTGATTGACACCTCAAGAAAACATGACTAACATCAGGCAAGCTACCCAACAATTAAACGGAATTAAATTGTTTGATATCTGCGTTACAAATTCTCTTTTTTTAAAAAAAATGTTCTCGCTTCTCTTAAAAATCTCCGGACAGCTTGCCGCCCTGTTGGACGTCTGACTGAACGCCCGTGGACTGGCCCTAGATTATCACTGATTAGTTTTAAACTGTATCGACTCTGTGCTGGCACGGCGTGCGTGTTTGCGAGTTGCCACAGACACTCCCGAGTCTATCAATCATCAGTGTGAATCGTGATTCAGAAGAACGACATCTTTCACCAGTGACAATTTAAGACAGCTCACATACCACCAGATCTGGTTATCAGCTTGCACACACGCATGTTCTTAAAGTGTCTTTACAGTCACTTTGACTCCATACCGAAAAGAGCGCCGAATTTACCACGGAACATCAATCAAGGTCTCTTAGAACTCAGGACGAAGAGTCCATTTAAACCTAGAGCTAACTGTACAACTATTATTCACAATTAACACCAACCGATACTTCATTGGTAGCTACAAGGCAACCTAAATTGACAAATCAAGGTGAGAGTATAGACGAAAGGGCTTCAGATATTGTACTGGGCGTCAGGTGAGTGGCTGACGATCATCGATATTGAGGTAAAGACTGGATTATGACAGAACAACAGGATTTAGAGAGAGATAATCTGTTACTTTATGAAATGTCGCCACGAGAACAAAGTTTCATTTGTCTTTTGCAACGTAGTCCTCACAATCTACTCATGTAGAATAATAACCCTAATTTCCATTTATCGCTGTAACCAGCTGTAAAAAATACCTTGCAATTTTTTTTAACAGTTTCCAAAGACTATAATCCTTCACATCCATTCATTTAAAGTACCTTTCTTCTTAAAACAGTTGACATGAAGAGACAGCACACAAAAGAAATCTCAAACTGCCCAAATCTACAGCAACTCCATATTATTTATGTCAATCATTTTTTTTTACCCACAAAGGGTTCCTGGCAGATTAGATGCATCATCTGGTGCTTGGAGGCATAGGCAATAATTGAAAGGAAACACAAATACATTTTGTACCCAGTATACCAAGAGCAGAGCTCATAATTCCTTGTAGTGCAAAGGGAGAGCATTTATGTTACATGTCTTATGGGAGATGAGTTTTGGTTCTCCATCGAAATTTGTTCCTGTGGATTTCAGTTGACTATTTTGTGCATATGATTCCTGGGAAACAGGGCAGGCAGTCATATGATACTGATGTAGATGTTTATCTTGGTTCTTTGGCTCAGTAAGTTGGGGTGGGGGCGCATCAAAGACCCCCTGCAGAGTCTGTAGTCTATAACCTAGGCTGACAGTTCAATGCAGTACTGAGGCAGTGCTGCACTATTGCAGATGCTGGTCTTTTGGTTGCAACTTTAACTTGAAGTCCTGTCTTCCTTCTTGGATGGAAATAAAAGATCTCATGGTACTTTCTGAAATAAATTAGAGGATTCCCCAAGGTGCTGCTCAATACTCATCCTTCTATAAACATCACAAATATGGATTGTCGGGTTATTTATCTCAGTTGTTCACATGGGATCTTGCTATACACATGTTGACCGCTGCACTTTCATGCATTACAAAAGTGATGATAACACAGAAGAATGCAATTGCTTCTGATGCACAATGGGAAATCCTGAAATTATAGGTTGCAAGCTCTTTAATTTCTTGTTTCTTAAATGGTAAATGATGTGAAGTGCAATATTTTAGCAGGATATGTGTATTTTGAAAGTGCATGTGGTGGATGAACACTTGCTTGTTGCTTTAACAAGGGGTTGGGGGGTGGTTTCAGTCCATAAATTCACAATAATCCAAATAGTGTGCATGTTTTTAGTGAATATTAGAACAAGTGACCATTACAACTCTAAGGTTGTTGTACATTATACCCATGTTATCTTATGGTATGCTATGATGATGGCTGATCCTAGACTGTGCCTCATTGAGGTACACAATGGCTGCTATTATAGGACTCCTAATCCTGTATGCACTTTCCTTCAGTGTCACCCTCTCCTGCCTCCTCACCTTCGCCAACATTTTCCCCTTATGCATATTCCCAACTCTTCTAAACAAACTGCCCATGAACCTCTTTAACTCATTGGCCCACCCTTTGCTGCTTTTCCATTAGCCTTCACTCTTTTTTTTCCATGACATTTCTGTCTCACCATGTCTGGAACCTTTCTAGACATTCATAACCTCTTTCTGATTCAAGTTTGGCTCCCACCATTACTAGAAATGACATAAAATGCTACTGCACAAAGTGAAGAACTCACAATGTTGGTATCAATCTATTAACAAGGATAAAGGATTGACTAACTAAAAGAAAGCAGAGAGTTGTGATAAATGGATGATTTTAAGATTAGCAAACCCATAACTTGTCAGTTGCCACAGGGATCAGTGCTGAGGCCTCATCATTTACAATTTACACTGCTCACTTGGATAAAGGGATTGAGTCCATTGTAACCAGACTTGCTAATGATGCAAGCATTAAAAGAAAACAAGTTCTGAGGAAGGCAAGGATTTACTTGATGGATGGATGTTAAGTGCATAGACAAAAGTTTGGAAAATGCAGCATAAAAATGTGAGAATGTTGATTTTAGTTACAATAATAGAAAAGCAAAATCTAATTGGAGGGAAAGTCCAGAATACTGAGACACAGGAATCTGGTGCCTTCATGCATCAAATACAAAAAGTTAACATGCAGGTACAGCAACTATATAAAAAGGCAAGTGGAAAGTTAACCCCTATTCCATGAGAGATGAAATATAAAAATAGGAAAATTTTGCTATGACTTTATGGGTGTTTGTGAGGCCACACATAGAGTACTGATTCCAGTTTTGGTCTCCTTATTAAAGGAAAACCATGAAAATTGGATGAATATACCACCAATGAGGATGATCTATTCCTCCAGAGCAAAGTTAACAGGGAGGTCTCTGGTAAGCAGTGTCTTTTTAGGGCATGGAACCTGAAGAGATAAGATACTTGTAGTTGAAGTAGCATAGTGAAGATTCATTAGGTTGATTCCTGAATTGTTTTATTAGAAAAGGTTGATCAGATTAGGCTTATACTCATTATAGCTTAAAAGAATGAAAGGGATCTTATTGAAACATAAAAGATTCCTAGAGGACTTGACAGAGAAGATGCTTAGTGGATGTGCAGTGATCTAGAACTGGGGGTGGGGGGGTACTGAAATTTCTTCTTTCAAAGTGTCATGAATCTTTGGAATTCTCTAGCCAGTCCAGTGTGCTGCAGAAGAGGGTGCATGGAATACATTCAAAACTGAGTTAGAGGTTTGAACTGGAGGGGAAACAGGAGAATAGGCAGGAAAATGATGTTCAGATCTTAAGTGGTGCAGCAAACCTGAGGGAATACATGCTCTTATTTCTTATATTCATATGCCATGGTAGTGCCAAGTCTATTAGCCAAGAAATGGACTTGGTATGGTAAATGTGGAGAGTTTATTTCTCCTTGTGGGAGAGTCTAGGACCAAAGAGCATAATTTCAGAATAAAGGCTTGCACAGTTAAGATAGAAATGAGGAGGTATTTCTTCTCTCAGAGGGTAGTGAATCTATGGAATTCTTTACTGCAGAGGGCTATCAAGACTGGGTTGTTATATCTATTCAAGGCTGAAATGGTCAGACTTTTAATTTGTAAGGGATTCAAAGGTTATAGGGAAAAAGAGTTGAGGATTAATAGATCAGACGTGATCTCATTGAATGGCGGAAGAGACTCAATGGACTGAATAGTCTAATTCTGCTCCTATGTCTTGTGCTCTTACATTAAAAGTTTGATAGAAGTTGCAAGTTGTT